ACTGAAAGCAGAGAGGAGATGAGCAGGAATGACTGCTGGTGAGACTTTGGTAGTGGTTTGATCTTTTCTGGTCTTACCTACCCATTGATATCTAAGATGATTGAAAACAAAATCATCCTAATTTCTTGGTAAAGGATGGGCAGTTTCTACTTTTGAGTGCCTTACTTAGATTCTGGCACTTTGAGAATGGATAACAGTGGTCATTTGATTTTTATATACAGGGAACATTTTATCTGAACGTTTTTAGCCCAAAGAACATTTAATGTCTGCTGAAATAAAATACACGAATGGCTTCTTTTTATTAATGCTTAACTATCTTAAGTGTTTGAAGGGGTAAATATCTCCTCATCTGTTAACTACAGTTTTTTAAGGTTGACTTTTCTCTCCATTAAGTTGACCATTTTTAAGTCAAAGTATAATTGGCTAGTTAAAGAGACCTTTACCTCACATCGTTCCCGTTTTATTATAAATCACCCATTAATGCCTTAGCAAGTAAGTCAAGGAGTGGAATTATAACTGTGCTTTTCTTCTCTTGTGGTAAGACTGCCATTGAATTTTTCTTTCTCTTTTTATTCTTTTCTATAGAAACTCAGTGTGAAAGATGTTGGGAAAATTGAATGCATTTTTACTAAGTCATCAGAAAGTATGATTCTTAAATATGCATTTTCTGGTTTTAGCAGATGAAAAAAGCCTCACACATTTGTAGCTAAATTATTTCATCTTGTACATTAAATATAATTTGGCATATCTGAAAATAGATGATAATATTCCTGCTTAAATGATATCATTAGAATGTAGGTCCTTGAGAGACTACAGGTTACCAAATAAATATTATTATGATGAGCCAAAAATCAATTAAAAAAAGCTGAGGTCAGAATTAAAAAAAATAACTCCACATTGGAATCTCTGTTTAGGTCACTTACATGATCACACTTGTCTTCATCAGATTCTTGAACCCATGAATAATAAAGATTTGATTTATTATGAAACCTAATATTTCCTCGAATACTCAGATGAAAGCTGTGTATTTGTTTGTATATCACCAAAGCATGTTGCACTAGAATAAACACATGATAAACCAACTTTGAGGGAGGGTAGGTAATTTTGTTTCATGACGGCTCAGATCAGTATGCATCTCCTATGAGTTAAACTGTTCAGATCCCCTTCACTATGACTTCTTTGGTAGAAGACCAACTTTGAGTTATTATTCAAAATGGGCTACTGGGCCGTGTTTCAAGGGTCAGTGTCGCAATTAATCCTTATCTGACACTCTAATTCATTGCTAGCAGAAACAAGTAGTCTGGTTCTTTGCCACATAATTTAACGTAAGGACAATCTGGGGATTTCTTTTCTAATGTTCTAGAACAAATGCTTTATCTTTAGCACACTGTTTATTGCCTTCTACTGCATAAGTCATGAATTTGTGACTTAATTTTGATTTAATAATTTTTAAAGTTTTTGATACTTGACTGTTGGGGTCCAGGAATGAGTATATCTTCTCTTTTTTATCTGTCTCTTTCAAAATTCTGTTCTCATTCAGCTTGGTACAGTAGAGTATTGTTGGAAAATTGAAAGCAGATTTAGAATGTTGAAAGATAATAATACTGTTGCATTTTTGTGTGTGTTGTCTTGTAATTCAGGCATCTTCAGTTTATAGAAAACAAATCCCAGATTGGGTCCCTTATATCATTGCCAGTATAAACCAAATGATCCAGAAAGATTTTGAGTACTTTACATGTTTTCATTTTAGCTTAATTTATCCTGACATTGTGTTCTACCCTGAATGTATAATATAAAGTCTTTGCAAAGTTTTCTGCTTGACATTTTTTTCTTAGTATGTATTCTGTGGGGTGGTACTATTATAGGAGAAAATTTTGTTTAGCATTTGTTGTTTAATAGGTGCTACCTATTAGTCAAATAAATGAAACATCATTTGAATTTCTCTACTTAAACTACTATATATTTTGATATTTTTAATTTCTACCTTTTTTCTTCATTGCTAGTTTCTGTGATGTTACAAATGTTTTATAATATATGCTGCCCACAGGTTCATTCTGCTCTTGAGCCCTTGAAATGTGGCTAGTACTATTGAGGAACTGAGGTTTTAATTTTATTTAATTTTTATTAATTTAATTCAAAATATCCACATGGCTAATGGCTACCGTGTTGAAAAAGAGCTCTCTAAATAATTAATTTTACTACCGCTATCTCTTACTGGGTCAGTGCCATGGAATTCATTAAGAATAGTATTCAGAAATGATAAACAATACAGTAGGTTTATAAGACCTAACCTCAGCTGAAGGCATAGTCCAGTTCTTAATCGTCTTTGAGAAACTGAACCTTGTACGTGTCACTGAACTGATCCGTGGGTGATCGTTAAACCCAGTGTTATTGAAATGCTCAGTTCTTCCAAGCAGGCAATCTGTTCTTTGATTTCTTCCTTCTCCTGCTCTTGCTTCCTCTGTGATCTTCCTCTGTTTTCTCCTTTCTCACTTGAGTATATGAGCATGAAGTTCCTCTTCTAATAGGACTTTAACAGACCATATTATTCAGGACTCTGATCATCCTGAGGGCAGGGACAGTGGTAGCACAGACCCAGGGCTGAGGACAGTGTGTGGGTCATTGCAGGCAGTGATCCTTTTCATGAATAAAGAAATATTACTGGCTTGCAGTTCTCTTTAACCTAGCCCAGTGAAAATACACGGCTTTGAATTTAGTTCCAAGCTTAGCTTGAATTTTCTGTGCTTTATTCTTCATGCATAAAAACAAAGAGAATCATTTTTATTCATAACTTTGAACTGTAGATAATAGATGAGCCAAGGGGGGAAAATGGGTCAGTATATAAAAAAGTAATGGACTAAAGAACAAAAACTGTAAAACATGTGGCAAATAGTGGTTGCCCAACTTTCACTGAGTGGATGACTTTCACAGATGTTACCGTTTATTAATTTATGTCACTCGAATGAAGTAACTGGCCAATTATAATGGTCAGCTCCTATCATCTTTCTTATTTTATAGAAATTATCATTGAAATTTAAAATCATTGACTTTATTTAATTAAATCAGTTTGATCTTGAGCATTTTGATCTTCATTTTGATCAGTGTCAGATTGATATATGATGTGAGTTAAAATCCATAGAACACGTGTTTTGCATCAGAGCTTTGGAAAAAACTAAAGACAACATAAAAGGAACCATTGTTTCTTTTTTACTCCCCCCAGAAACTTTTGATTCTAACCACTCTGCTCTACTACCGCCCTGGTAAAAAATGAAAGAAGTAGTTTTCAGGAACCCTTCACATAATGAAATCGAGTGGTTTTACCCTTTTATTTGTTAGCCCATAAAACATGTTCTTACTGCTTTTTTTCTTCTACTTCTTCCACCATCACCATTTTTAGGAGAAAAAACTACTGTGGCTTAAGACACTCAGCTCTTAGGAATGGAATCTTCACACCGATATATAGAACACTGAGCCTGTCTGAGGTAGAACACAGAGTGTGCTTTTCTAGCTTCCTAATACTGCAAATAAATTCTTACTGTATCTGAGTTATTTAAAATTGTTCAAGGATGAGGAACTGAGCTAGTATCACTAACTCTGGAGTACACCAGAATACCTACACTGAACATTTTCCTTAGTACTCAAATTTTAGTAAAATTGAAAGATACATTGCTTAGATAAAATGCACTAGATGCTTGCAGAATAATTTTAAATTCATTTTTGCATTTAGTAGATAAACTCCTGTATATTACAAAAAAAATAACCTTTAAGAGACAGAGTTATTTGAACTCATGACTCCCTTATTAACAACCAAATCAATCTTTATAAAATATTAGAGAAATTCTGAATTTTGAATTGGGACCATAACCACTATGATAATGCTACATATGACCATAAGTAGGTGAACACTGGTCTTAGCCATCTAAAATTGTTTTGACCCTATTAAGGTAGTTATTGTATACTAGTTAATTTAGTTACACTCATGCATAATTTTTTTCACCAAAGGAACATTTTAATGTCAATTTTATATCATTTTACTTCTTTCTATCCATTGTGTGCTTACTACAGATTTGCGTCTAGAGGAAGAGGTGATGTTAATATAAATGGCTTGTGTTTTATTCCTAAAAGTGTGAAGAAAATGCATTCAAACAAACGTCTGAATTATAAAAACTTTGTGGTATGAAATAATTCAGTAATCTGTCCACATCTGCCAGTTTTTAATGAAGAATAGAAAATAAAATCTCAAAGCCATGGCTTTTCTCTTACTGTGTACAGTTAGTATCCATCTAGGCGGGTAAGACACACTCTCACACACTTACCTGGTCTTTTAATAATTGAATCCTAGAAATGATTTAGTAAATCCAATTACAGGTAGCTCTTAACATTCTTGAATAAAAAGGAAAGTAATGAACCCTAGAGGTTTTGCTTGTAGAAATATTGTGATATCAGGTGTCCTGATAGATGCGTTGTTCTTTTTCCTTTATTTTTTGCCTTGTGAAGGCTAAACTATTTTAAAAACTATGTTGGAAAAGGAGCAGATGATCTCTTCAATATTTTGTGTTTGATGATAATATGTTAAACAATCTTGTGGGCTAGCAATTCATTAGGATTTATAATTGATTTCCGCAACAATCCTGATAGTTAATTGACTGGGCTGGAAATAAACCTTGCTAATGCATCTACAAACATTACTGCCAACTTCTCCAGAATCAACAGATATTGTTATTATGATTATTTTTAAGTTACCTTGCCACACTTAAAGCCCTGAATGCCAGAGAAAAATCTGAGTATTCAGAATAGACTTTTAGGAATCCATCAACGGTCTTTCAGATTCAAACTTGAATACAGTTTTGAGACAATTTTGTAAATGTTTTGCGTGGCCAATTTTAAGGGTTTGGGTTTCCAGTTACTAAACTTTCACACGAATGCTTTCGTAACCAGTTTAGAAAAGAAAAGCAGAGTCATCGCATATCCCAAATCTTAACCATGGTGCATCTTTCTAGGCTGTGACAATCTCCGGGACACCAAACAGGAGGGTAAGTGAAACACTGGCTTTTTTGGATCCTTCCTACTTTCAAAGCATCTTCAAACTTTTCAACTTCCCGCCTTTCCCTGTCATTCACGGTTCTCATGTATTTGGTTCTCATGTACTTCTGCTAGTAGTAAAGCTTGCAGCTAGTGATGTAATTTGGGCTACGCTGGGATGCTTTGAGTACAATCTTTCCCTTCTTCCCTAAACTTAGTACTGCATATGCTCTTGGAAAAATAAGAGCCGAAGGGTTACCACAGGAGACCTGGGTGATTGAAATAGAACTAGAGTGCCTGAGAAACAATAACTTGGTTGCCTGTTAATCCAAAAGACAATGCAAATTTTAGATAACCATCAGAGAACTAACATAATTGTAAGGACTGTACTTCTTAAACAACTGAGAGTATACCGAAGTAAACTCTTAAGTGTAAAAACTCAGTTCTCTTAAACCAAATCTGTTATCTGATTTTCTTACACAGAAGGAAAATAATTTTTACTAGCTTTTACTTAGAGGAAGCTAAGTGCTTTAGAATCGATTTGTCATTTTAATAGAGATTTAAAACATACCTAAATTTGGATTAATATAATCCATGGTGGCACATGACCTACAGGCTCTCTTTTCTATTATTTCATGAATAAGGCCATCCACTTGACAAAATCTAAAGTATTTTGTTATTGCTTTGCAGGCTCGTTAGTTGTTGGTATTGTTGGACCAGGTCCTATGTTTATTTCCCTCAGCTGTGATACAGTTTATACACACTCAAGTTTTATCACTCATTGCATTTTTCCCATTGTGAAAAATCGAGGCACTTTACCTTGAAAAACTCTTCCCTTTTAAAATTTTCCCTTGATAAAGAAAAGATGTCACAACTTGCTTACAGAGTTGAATTTTTTGCCTCTCTTACATGTGTAGTCTTAGTCACCTTATTAAGTTAAACAGGAAGACCTCAGAGGTAGGTATTTAAAGTATGCGGAACATCTACAATCACTATAGCAGAATGCAAAATTCTTAAGTATGGCCTCCTCCGGTCACATTTACTGATTTTACACTTCTTCATGTGGGAAAATTAATTTAGTATTTAAATTATAACAAAACAAAGATATAGCTTTACTATAATTTTGATAGATTGCTGAACAATCTGTCAATACTTGCATTTACTTAAAACTCCTTCAGTCATGTAAACATCATCCATTATTTCTGAATTGTATTTTATTTGATAAACAGCACAACATTATTATTTTGCTAAAAAAATTTTTAATTAAACACTGGATTTTACATTTTTCATGATCCTAGATGTTATGTTACCTAAATGTTAGCAGTAGGCCTTTATAAGTATAACAGATTAACTATTCTTCATGAAGATATAATAACCAAATTTTGATGAAAGAAAGAGAAGTAGGAAGAAAAGAAGAAAGAAAGAAGGGAAGGAAAGAAGGAAGGAAGGAAGCAAGGGCACCCCCTTGGGTTGCACTTAACATTAATGAAACCAGGAAAAGAAACAATATTTTCCAACTGGTAATATCAAAATAGCCATATAATCCAATGATTTACCTCAATTACATGTCTTTATATTTTTCTACAAAAAACTGTCAATTGGCAGATTCTGTAAGTATTGTTTTTATTCTTAAAATATTACCCAATTTAAATTTAAAAGTTGAATTTCTTCATTGTTTAAAAATGTTTTGTGAATATAGTTATTATTCTCGGTAATACGGCCATAACAATGTATTTCATATAATTTATTAATATGCTGCAGATATAGGAAAACATTTCAAACTTACACTAATAAATGGAGTTCTGTGTAAATTTGAAAAATACAGAGACGAAGAGTGCTTTCGGCTTCAATTCTTCATCCTCAGCTATGTGTCTAAGTAAACACAAAAGCTCCCCGGTTCAGATCTAAAATTTTTATCCCCTTTCCCATGAGTATGAAATACGTTCTTGCAGAACCTATCCATGCAAGAGACTGATGAAATATAGTTCCTGTTGATTGTCACTCAGCAGAAAAGTGTAGTAGAGAACACCAGCTAGGGCTCCCTATTACTGTCATCACTGGGAATAACTGCCTTTCCATGTGCACCCAAGAATAAGAACCAGCTGAAAGACCAGAAAAGTTTAATAAAACCAAAAACTGAATAAAGATAAGAAAGAGACATAGTAAAGATTTTTTTCTTTGTTAACTTTGAGCCAAAACCTAGGTGTCTGACTTAAGTATCTATGGGGAAGTTTAAGTATCCGCAGGGTGAACCTGTGGATTTATTTTTAAAAACTAATTTTGAAAAATTTTAAACATTATCCTGTGTAAATAGGGAATAAATATTTGTTAGAATTATTTTGCTAATCAATACCAGGGAAGACCAGGGAGATAGTAAATTTCTTGAAAAGAAAAATGAGAGGAACACAAATTACATAGTCTACCAGAAATGACCTTTTGATCAGAGACAAAAATCAAATACTGCTATTCACTAGATCAGTAGAACATTAGGCTTTGGGGTTATTTGTTTTGGACAGAAAATTTCCATATAACTTCATAAAGGACCTTAATTTTGAGCCCAACACAAATATATTCCTCTAGAGCATGCTATAATCTCCCAGTATATGTCAAAAGAATATGCCACAGCCAGACACAGGTATTTACCTGTAATCCCAGTTTCTAGGGAGGCTGAAGCAGGACAATTGCAAATTGAAGCCCGACCTAGCCAAATTAGTAACTTCTAGTGATACCCTGTCTCAAAATGAAACAGTTCAAAAGGGCTGGGAATGTGGGTAGCTCAGTGCAATGTTTTAGGTTCAACTCAGTATCACCACCAGCACCTCCCAAGTGCTACTCTTTAGTTTACCTTGTTTCCAAATTTTAGGTATTTTTTCACTAGAGTGTGAATGGAGATAATTTTTAGATGTCAATTTAAAAATGTTTATATTAAAATTGGTTTTACATAGTGTTTAAGGCCTACATAAACATTGGTTTGAATTGTGGATAAACTATACTTACTGTCTAGTTCGTTCTCCCAGTATGCTCATTGACTCCAGCAAGAGTATGAAGCTTGTTCCGGAAAAAGCGGAAAGATAGGTGAGCTTGGATGATAACACCGAGTCCTGTGTTCCTTCTTTTTTCTTTGCCTTCCCTGCTTCCACTTGGTTTGTTTCTCCCCATTTCTTAGAGCTCCAAATATATGTGCATATATATATATATATGTATAGGATATTTCTGGAGTTCAAACCCAAGGATAATTTTCTTGAAACTGCTGACAAGATAAAAACTCCATATAATTAGTACTGCCAGACACAATCAGAACACATATTAATGCTGCTTTTTAAAACTGATGAATCTTCTGTTGATGAATTAGCAAAACAATCACGATTACCTTGACAGTAAAGAGGTACGTATATGAGTCAGTGTCTAGAATCCCGATGCCCGCTTCTTCCTTTGCTAGGTTGAACACTTTATATTAAATTAGATGCTAAGTAGAAATGCCATGCGTTACTACCAACAGGTAGTTACAAATTTGCAAGAGGGATTTTTGAAATGCACACTGTAGACTATATCTTTTTAAATAATAAATATTTTAGAGTTTTGAAAAACTTAAAATTTACTGTGATTGACCTTCCTTTTAAACATTCAATCATAGAACCTCACTTTTTATGTATAATAAATACATATGTAGATATATTTACAGAAAATTTAAATGACACACTTTATGTAGTTTTTTATTTTGTCTATATTATTAGAAATATCTGTGCAATGTGGGACAAAACATTTGAGATTTAAAGTTTATAATGTAGAAAATATTTATGCTTACTGCATTTTGTGACCAAATAATTTAGTATATTTTGTTGGCTTCACATCTATTGCATATTAAGTACATTGTAAAGAGCGGAATATTCACATTTTAAAACCACAACTTAAACCATTTTTTTCTAAACTAATGATCATCTATTGAAATGGTCTTGGAGTCACTAAATAAATTATCTTTAAAGAGAGTTTTTATTAGATTTTAGTTTATTCCAGCCCCTTAACTGGAACATGATTTCCAAAGGCAACATATTTCAAGTTTACATTGTGGATTTCAAAGTTAATTAAAAATTTAAGTTCAAAGGATTACTATAATGAACATTTATGAGCATAAATCCTCCCTAGTAATATTATTAAGAAGTAATATTCATCAGAAGGTTGTGTTTCTACTTAGTTTTGCACAATGCGTGCCTTTATGACTAAAATCTCATTTATTTTTTGTGCCACATTTGCTTTTTTGGTTTTTCTTCAGTCAAGTTCAGTGCCTATGAAAAAGCAATTTGTAAATTAACAACAGCAACAAAATTGCAAGCTGAAAAAAGTTCTAAAATATTACTAAAATATAGTACATCAAAAAAGTTTCAATGGAAATTTCATCACAGAATTTTTTTGGACATGTGAAATACATGCATTGAAATGACCCCTTGTCATTTACAGAGGTCATCGTAAATTTATAAAAGGCCAGTGATATTCATGACTGAGATATCTTTACATGTTTTGCCTGTATGGAAGCATTTATTTTATTTGTGTCTGTTGAAGGCATGTAAAACTGAGTTTAAATTTCTATTTCGCTTGATGTTGGCAAGAAGTGATACAGGTGAAATATCACCATTGCTGTCCAAACTCTTCATTTTAATTTATTTTTCAGATGGTCACTGCTATATCACATTGTTTTTCAATGTTAAGAAACATGTCCACTATCTCTTACACTCTTTCCATTTAGATTAGCGTTTATAAAGTTAGATCCAGGTATTGTGAAGCCCACCACCTTTAAACTTAATGAGCCCCTCCTTAATAAAAATAATTCATAATTATAGAGAAAGCATTGGGCTACGAATTTGGGTTATGCTAGACTATCAGAAATTATAGCAAATTGCAGAAGTTAAAATTTGGCAACCATGATTATCATGAAAATACAGAAAAACAACACAAAGTTTGGTTAAGTATCATCCTCTATAATCTTCTATGAAAGAAATCTACGACAGAAATCTAT